GATTAACAGTCCTTTATTACAATCCCCCATCCCTTCTTTTCCTCTATTACGATCCCTCCATCGCCTCCCCAGTCCCTCACACCCACACACTCTGTTTACACATTACAACCCCTTAAATCTGCTTAATCACTCTCTCTCTCTCTCTCTCTCTCTCTCTCTTTCTCTCTATCTCTCTTTCCGTCTCTCTGTGTGTGTGTGTGAGTGTCTGCGTTTGCTAGCTTGCGTGCGTGCGAGCTAGCAAACGTGCATGTGTGTGTCTGAGGTGTCTGATGCATAGTCCCCTTTTCCTGACTGATCCCACTGAGCGGGTTTCAGGGTTCAGACTGGGCAACTCCTTCACCTCATTCCTCTATTTCTCTACCTCCCTTTCTGTCTCTCTCTCTCACACACACTTCCTATCAGAGGGTCTTGGAGGCTAAAGCTGATGAGGTCATTGTGGAATGTCAGTTTCTTAATGAAATGCTCATATTGCACTTCAACGGATATTACTCTCTTCCTCTCTTTTGCTCTAACTCTCTCTCTCTCTCTCTCTCTCACTAGCTTCCACATCTCTTGCGGATGGATGGAGTCCATGGGGAGTGTAATATTACCTCCACACCTCCTCCTCTCATCTCTAACCTCCCTCACCCCTCACTCATTCCATATTCTCTGTGTAATTTCCAGGAGGACAGGATGGTAATTGTCATAATTAGAGTGGGGAATCATAATTAGAGTGGAATAGTCCACTATCCCTTCAGTGGTGGGACTATGGAATGTTCCACTATTGTTTCAGGGGCGGGGCTGAGTGTAGGGTGATAACTACACATATAGGGTACCTAGGCCCCAACATGCCTGTTACTCCTCACCTCTTACCTACTGTACCCCCCCTCCCCCCTCACCTCTCTGAGGAATAGATTTCCACTCAAATAGTCTGCATCAAAACATCCATCCCTCTCTCCCTCTCCACCTCCGATTCCATCAATCTCTCTCCTCCAGAGGTATGTGGTTTAGGGTTAGGGTTATGGCTAGTGTTAAGGTTGAGCCAGGGTGTGGACATGTAGCTAGGGTTAGTTTAGGGTTGGTTTAGGGCTGACCCAAGCCTTATGTTCAGGGGTAGAGAGAGGGAGATGACAAGGATGAACAGAGAGATAGAAACAATTTGAGAAATTCATAAGGTGTTGGCGGTGTCTGAAGAGGAGCTAACTCAACAAAATCGCCTCTGCTCAGTCCAACTGGATCCTACCATGCAGGCCTTGCAGTCCCACACTGACAGACTGATTCTAGAGGAAAAGGGCGAGAAAAAGTGAGAGTGAACAGGAGAGAGAGGTCAGAGAGCAGCATGTGCTTCTGATAAATGATCGCTCACCATCTAACACACCTCAAATACTTTATCTTTACACAGAGCCAGAGAAAGATTGGTGCAGTGTGTGTGTGTGTACGTGTGTACGTGTGCACGTGCCCACGTCCCATTGGGAGTATCTTAACTTTCCTAGAGTTCTAGAGCAGTTTAAGCTTGCTACATTAGAGGTTGTTTCCATGCCGTCTCCAATTTCTTTTCCATTACAATTTCAGAAATCAGAGCTATGAAAGCAATTGAACTGAAGGACCAATATATTGCTACATGTGTATTCATACACACACACACACACACACACACAGACATGTATAGCCAGCTGTAGAATATATGAAGACTGACGTAATTAGGGAGGATGGGGGGGGCAGAGGGGGGCCTGGTGGTGTGTTATGGAAAATTAGGGGAGGATGAGGAGAGAAGAGAAGACTGGGGGCAAGGGAAGAGGGAAGAGAGAAGGGGGGGGGGGGGGTGCATTATGTTCAAAACAACATTTTTGGGAAAGACAAGAATTGAGCTAAATAAATGTATCAATGATGGAGTACTGTGGATACCAATATCCATGTGAGCCTTCAGGCCTATGTTGTGCACTACAGGTTAAGAACATCAATTGTGGATGAATAATATTAAATTGTATTGTATTGCACCCTCTAAACTTTTTCTGCGGATCCCTTATCCAAAATCTATAGTTGCTAGCAATATTCATAAAATTACATGAAAAAATATATATACTGTATATACAGTATATATATTTTGAGATCTGGCCGCAGACCCCTGCAGTACCCCACTTTGGCAATCCCTGCACTACCCCAACACCATGCAACACTATCCCTCTATTAAAAGTGCTTCTTAGTCCATGCCTAAATTCATCTGTGTCCAGGAAACACCAATATATTCCAGGTTCTGCGTGAAACATGTTCATGTCTGCAGTAGAAGTAATAATAACAGCCTGTCCACATGGAATACTAAGAGGACTGGCTCCTGGATGACTGCATGCTTAAAGCAAGCTTTATTACTGGTCCTCGGAGCCCTGCTAGGTAGAAGATAAGGACCTTTGCATGTACAATATGTGCAATCTCCTAATGATCTCATTAGAGGAACACACAGGAGTGAAAGCCACTCAGTCCCACCACACACACCCAATACTGCTCCCCCAGACTCCCACACATTCACACCACAAACTCCTGAGTAATGCAGCTCATATGACAGGAGCTCATAAACAGTGAGATTAAACAATTAACTAACCCAGTGGAACCTCAGTCCCATTTTCCAGCTGGGCTGTCGCCATGGAATGTCCCATGTAAAATCTCTCCCTAGGAGAAAATGGGATTCTACAGTCATATACGTAGCTATAGATACATGTAGGCCAGTTGGCTAGACTGCATTGTCTGTATGATGAAACAATCCCTAGTAAACTGTCGTTTTGACGGTGGACTGATTTGGCATTAATAGACTGGTTTTACACAGCACACACTTTCTATCCAAGATGCGAGAGAGCGCGAGGACGGCTAAGGTAGGCTATAGGCCTATGTATATATATATACAATTGGTTACTGATTAGTATGCTGTTGCATCGAAAATGTATTTTACAACCGGTGATGTTTGGAATTTCCCACTTGAATTACTGAACAAGTAAATACATTATTGCCGTCTGCCAGCATTCTAAATAGCAGCATTGCGACACCGTAGGCCCATAAACGTTAGGCTTAGCATGAGAAAATGACAACCAAATAAAAATAAACATGTATCCATTAAATCAAAGCTATTTGCTACTACAAGCACTAGCACCACATAATCTGATGCCTTATCGTTTGGCAGCCGCGTAGACGTCGCAATTTCATGACCATGGACAGCGATCGGTAGTCTATACTTTCTGAGTGGCTGACACGTTCTATATCGTGGAGCTCCGCCCCATAGGGGAGCTCTGCTCCTAGTGGTTTACCCTCTGCCCTAAGGCAGCAGCAGCCTGAGACAAAATTATGCACACACCTACAGCCAATAGGAGTACAGGTGTCCCTATAAGAGGGGACTCCTCATCAGCCCCTCCCTGATGCTCTG